GAAATCAGTGGAATGCCTGTGGAAGCAGAGTATGATAGCTAAGGAGATGGAGAAAATTCTGACGTTTGATTGCAAATATGCGGAGGGAGTCGAAAAGAGAACACACAGAAGGCTGTTGTATAAAACACCTGTCTCCAGATTACATCTTGAAACTATGGGCAACCATGGCATCCGTGACAGAGGGAGAAGCGTCCATCCATGTATACGGGTAAGGCTAGCTACATTTTCAGATATTATACATTTCTAATTTTGTCAGAAATTTGCAAGTTAGCGTACTGTTAGCTAGCTAGCTAACGTTAGCTGGCTGGCTTGGTAGCTAAAGTTACGTGTATGATCTGTGTAGTACTATTATCTGTATCTCAGAAAGTCATTTGCATTGCTAGTTACAGTCTAATGTTAGCTAGCTCGCTACCTTTGAACCAAGCTGGTTAGCTTTAGCTACCTGCAGATTCATGCACGGTAGTAATGTTATGAGTTGGAATTATGGTTCATTGTCTAAACAAAACACTCCACTATGCAAGGTACTATTTCACCATACTGTTTACACCTTCTGTATCCTGTGCATGTGACAAATAAACTTAGATATTAATTGATATAGAGTGTTTACTAGAGACGGTAATGTGAACAACAACATGACCTGCACCAAAGTCAAATTAGGATATAACGTTAGGCCAACGAGACAGTGTCCAAGTTCTAAAATTCTATGGTAGAATGCCTTCTACAGTGGGGAAAAAAAGTATTTAGTCAGCCACCAATTGTGCAAGTTCTCCCACTTAAAAAGATGAGAGAGGCCTGTAATTTTCATCATAGGTACACGTCAACTATGACAGACAAAATGAGGAAAAAAAATCCAGAAAATCACATTGTAGGATTTTTAATGAATTTATTTGCATATTATGGTGGAAAATAAGTATTTGGTCACCTACAAACAAGCAAGATTACTGGCTCTCACAGACCTGTAACTTCTTCTTTAAGAGGCTCCTCTGTCCTCCACTCATTACCTGTATTAATGGCACCTGTTTGAACTTGTTATCAGTATAAAAGACACCTGTCCACAACCTCAAACAGTCACACTCCAAACTCCACTATGGCCAAGACCAAAGAGCTGTCAAAGGACACCAGAAACAAAATTGTAGACCTGCACCAGGCTGGGAAGACTGAATCTGCAATAGGTAAGCAGCTTGGTTTGAAGAAATCAACTGTGGGAGCAATTATTAGGAAATGGAAGACATACAAGACCACTGATAATCTCCCTCGATCTGGGGCTCCACGCAAGATCTCACCCCGTGGGGTCAAAATGATCACAAGAACGGTGAGCAAAAATCCCAGAACCACACGGGGGGACCTAGTGAATGACCTGCAGAGAGCTGGGACCAAAGTAACAAAGCCTACCATCAGTAACACACTACGCCGCCAGGGACTCAAATCCTGCAGTGCCAGACGTGTCCCCCTGCTTAAGCCAGTACATGTCCAGGCCCGTCTGAAGTTTGCTAGAGTGCATTTGGATGATCCAGAAGAGGATTGGGAGAATGTCATATGGTTAGATGAAACCAAAATAGATATTTTAGGTAAAAACTCAACTCGTCGTGTTTGGAGGACAAAGAATGCTGAGTTGCATCCAAAGAACACCATACCTACTGTGAAGCATGGGGGTGGAAACATCATGCTTTGGGGCTGTTTTTCTGCAAAGGGACCAGGACGACTGATCCGTGTAAAGGAAAGAATGAATGGGGCCATGTATCGTGAGATTTTGAGTGAAAACCTCCTTCCATTAGCAAGGGCATTGAAGATGAAACGTGGCTGGGTCTTTCAGCATGACAATGATCCCAAACACACCGCCCGGGCAACGAAGGAGTGGCTTCGTAAGAAGCATTTCAAGGTCCTGGAGTGGCCTAGCCAGTCTCTAGATCTCAACCCCATAGAAAATCTTTGGAGGGAGTTGAAAGTCCGTGTTGCCCAGCGACAGCCCCAAAACATCACTGCTCTAGAGGAGATCTGCATGGAGGAATGGGCCAAAATACCAGCAACAGTGTGTGAAAACCTTGTGAAGACTTACAGAAAACGTTTGACCTGTGTCATTGCCAACAAAGGGTATATAACAAAGTATTGAGAAACTTTTGTTATTTACCAAATACTTATTTTCCACCATAATTTGCAAATAAATTCATTAAAAATCCTACAATGTGATTTTCTGGATTTTTTTTTCTCATTTTGTCTGTCATAGTTGACGTGTACCTATTATGAATATTACAGGCCTCTCTCATCTTTTTAAGTGGGAGAACTTGCACAATTGGTGGCTGACTAAATACTTTTTTTCCCCACTGTACGTAAGAATGCCCTGATTTTATTCCGTCTCACTCACAACCGTAAGCTATTTTCTGTAATGAGCTCGCCATTAACTTGTAAAAAGTGATCTTGTTGTGAGTTTATTTTCCTAAAATAATTAATAAAATGTGCTAAAGTTAAGACGGTCAGCTATGATATGGTCATTATTTGAACCGGCTAGCCAGCTAACTTAACGTTAACAAGCTAGAAACTAACCAAAACATTGTTTAGAAAGTTGCTTTTCGTTGCTGGTTTGCTAGATTGACATATACTAAATTCATTTTTAAACGGATGGGTTTATTGGTATTAAAATACACCAGTTATGTTATATTGGACCACCAGGCTGCTGATGTCATGCAGCCTGTCGTTTTTGTGTTTATACTTTTTCATAACGACAAGCTTGATGTCAGACGACAATAGAATTTTCATGATGTCACTGTGACGACTGTCTACAGACATGTCGATAGACATAGTATAAACCAGCCTTTAGTCTGGAAATCTTTGGTTGTTTAGTCCACTACCGTACTCACTCTGTTTAGCACATGGCCTCACATGTGAATCCTTAAAGAGATGGGTGGGGCTAAGGCTTAAGAGGGCGTGAACGATGCTGAATGGGTGTAGACAAAGAAGCGCTCGCCAATAGGTGTAACAAAACATTCAAGGGCCATTTTCTCAAAAGTGGGGTTACACGTTTATTAACTTTCAAAGCAGAATTACTTTCCCATTGCTCCTCAACTGTAGTGTATGACATACCATTTTCTTGCTCTGAGTCTCTACTTTTATCCAATGTAAAAAATACAATTTCAAATTTTAAAACATAAGACTGAATCGAGCCGGTCGGCCACTTATGGTTTAATTTTAACCTGCACCATTAGTCATTGAGGTTGTTAAGGTATATTTTTATTTTAACCTGCACCATCAGTCATTGAGGTTGTTAATTCTTAAAAGTCTGAGCTGACATATGGAATTGTTTTAAGATGGTCGTACTATGGATCATTTAGCTATTTGATTTTGAATTTTAGGACCCCTTTAGGTTTCCAAAAAATATATACAAAAATAACACATTCATAAATGGCAAAAAAGACAGTCCAAAAATAAATCTTAAGAAACAAAGTTTTGAAGTGTCTGTCCTGTATCTAGCAGACATAAGAAAGACCAGGAAATATATATATATATTTTTTTTTTACACATATTTAACCCCTTTTTTGGGTAGGCACAAAACTACCTTCATACTTTCATTCATTTTCAAAAAAAACGGTACCGGTTACCTTCAGACGAGTCCCGTGACTCTTGTGGGGGTCGGAGACCGCCATCGTGTTCGTCATAGTCATCTTTCCATAGAGAGGTCATAATAGTTTGTAGGTCAAACCGTTCAGAGTCATCTTTCCATAGAGAGGTCATAATAGTTTCTAGGTCAAACCGTTCAGAGTCATCTTTCCATAGAGAGGTCATAATAGTTTCTAGGTCAAACCGTTCAGAGTCATCTTTCCATAGAGAGGTCATAATAGTTTCTAGGTCAAACCGTTCAGAGTCATCTTTCCATAGAGAGGTCATAATAGTTTCTAGGTCAAACCATTCAGACGCTACAGACATTGTCGTAAAAGGACAGATTTTAGAGATATCTCCAGCTTAAACTGACAGATTTTGATAGGGATTTTTGTATTATGTTACTTAGATTGACACACTGGTGCGTCAATCAACTCTAGGGGGTTAAGGTATGGTTTCATTTTAACAACCTCAATGACTGATGGTGCAGGTTAAGGTATGGTTTTATTTTAACCTGCATCATTGTTTCTGTGAATAATTGAGGTCTGAAAAAGGACATTTGAAAGACAGTGCAGGCAGATGTTATATTCAATATTGGTGCTTAGGATCATATTACGAACAGAAGAAAAAAAAAAACAATATTCGTATATAACGAGTTACATCTTTTTATTAATTATTAAAACAAATCCATAATCACACAAAACATTTCAAAACCAATTTCTCACTTTTCAATGTTTCAAGATGTTGAGGCATACAGCATTACCTTAGTGAATCACTTTTCCTAGAGTCTGAGACTACTACTTAAGAGTTGAAAATCTAATCAAATTATAGAACAGGGTGTCATTAAGTACACTTGTTCATATTATTTCCTGCATGTGGCACAAAAAATACAAAATAATATATCCACTTAATGGAGGCCCGTGGCTAGGGCCATGATAATCTGAAATATTTGAAAGAAATGATCACGGCACACACGTTTAAGTGATCATTCCCACATAGTGACACAACTTCTCTCCAGTGCAGAACAGAGTAACTAGCCAAAGACTGAAGATCAATGTAAAAAATATTTTTATTTCTCTGAGCTCTCTCCTCTCTAATAACTGCTATTCATTCTTTCCCTTTACTGGACTTCTGACAGCTGATTAATTTAGTGTGGATATGTGTGGGTGTAAAAAAAAAAGAAAAAAAGACACATGACACACTCACAAGATGGATGGCAATCTTTGCTTTACCTTCCCAAATCACAATCGCAACACATCGAAGCTCTATCCAATTATGCATTAGCTACCAGTAGATGGGGGGGGGGGGGGGGGGGGGGGCTGCGTGTGGTGTGTGCGTGCGATGTGGTGTCTAGGGGGAGCCGACCTGTGTGTGTGTGTGTGTCTGGTCTAGGGGGAGACAGAGCTGACCTCCTGGTAGATGAAGGAATAGAGGCTGACGTCAGGACAGCGTGTGAAGCAGCTCTGACACACTGAACTGTAGTACTGACACAGGAAACTGTACAGAGCCCCTATGGAGACAGAAACAGAGACCACGTTAGATACATCATTCATTCACCAAACAACCACAGCAGAGAATCAGGAATAGAGGGCAAATGCTGACAAATGGTATTGTAATTCTTCCTGATTTTACAGGTAGTGATTTAATACAACAAATTGTTTACCAAAAATACATAATTCTATAACCAATATAGTTAGGTGTATGCCTTTGCAATGTGCAAAATACTCCAATACATTTCAGTGTTGTATGTATAGAACTATAGAACACCAGACAGTGTTGTATGTATAGAACTATAGAACACCAGACAGTGTTGTATGTATAGAACTATAGAATACTAGACAGTGTTGTATGTATAGAACTATAGAACACTAGACAGTGTTGTATGTATAGAACACTAGACAGTGTTGTATGTATAGAACTATAGAACACTAGACAGTGTTGTATGTATAGAACTATAGAACACTAGACAGTGTTGTATGTATAGAACTATAGAACACTAGACAGTGTTGTATGTATATAACTATAGAACACTAGACAGTGTTGTATGGATAGAACACTAGACAGTGTTGTATGTATAGAACTATAGAACACCAGACAGTGTTGTATGTATAGAACTATAGAACACTAGACAGTGTTGTATGTATAGAACTATAGAACACTAGACAGTGTTGTATGTATAGAACTATAGAACACTAGACAGTGTTGTATGTATAGAACTATAGAACACTAGACAGTGTTGTATGTATAGAACACTAGAAAGTGTTGTATGTATAGAACTATAGAACACTAGACAGTGTTGTATGTATAGAACTATAGAACACTAGACAGTGTTGTATGTATAGAACACTAGACAGTGTTGTATGTATAGAACTATAGAACACTAGACAGTGTTGTATGTATAGAACACTAGAAAGTGTAGTATGTATAGAACTATAGAACACTAGACAGTGTTGTATGTATAGAACTATAGAACACTAGACAGTGTTGTATGTATAGAACACTAGACAGTGTTGTATGTATAGAACTATAGAACACTAGACAGTGTTGTATGTATAGAACTATAGAACACTAGACAGTGTTGTATGTATAGAACTATAGAACACTAGACAGTGTTGTATGTATAGAACTATAGAACACTAGACAGTGTTGTATGTATAGAACTATAGAACACTAGACAGTGTTGTATGTATAGAACACTAGACAGTGTTGTATGTATAGAACTATAGAACACTACACAGTGTTGTATGTATAGAACTATAGAATACTAGACAGTGTTGTATGTATAGAACTATAGAACACTAGACAGTGTTGTACAGTGAGGAAAAAAAGTATTTAGTCAGCCACCAATTGTGCAAGTTCTCCCACTTAAAAATATGAGAGAGGCCTGTAATTTTCATCATAGGTACACGTCAACTATGACAGACAAATTGAGAAAAAAAATCCAGAAAATCACATTGTAGGATTTTTAATGAATTTATTTGCAAATTATGGTGGAAAATAAGTATTTGGTCACCTACAAACAAGCAAGATTTCTGGCTCTCACAGACCTGTAACTTATTCTTTAAGAGGCTCCTCTGTCCTCCACTCGTTACCTGTATTAATGGCACCGTGTTTGAACTCGTTATCAGTATAAAAGACACCTGTCCACAACCTCAAACAGTCACACTCCAAACTCCACTATGGCCAAGACCAAAGAGCTGTCAAAGGACACCAGAAACAAAATTGTAGACCTGCACCAGGCTGGGAAGACTGAATCTGCAATAGGTAAGCAGCTTGGTTTGAAGAAGTCAACTGTGGGAGCAATTATTAGGAAATGGAAGACATACAAGACCACTGATAATCTCCCTCGATCTGGGGTTCCACGCAAGATCTCACCCCGTGGGTTCAAAATGATCACAAGAACGGTGAGCAAAAATCCCAGAACCACACGGGGGGACCTAGTGAATGATCTGCAGAGAGCTGGGACCAAAGTAACAAAGCCTACCATCAGTAACACACTACGCCGCCAGGGACTCAAATCCTGCAGTGCCAGACGTGTCCCCCTGCTTAAGCCAGTACATGTCCAGGCCCGTCTGAAGTTTGCTAGAATGCATTTGGATGATCCAGAAGAGGATTGGGAGAATGTCATATGGTCAGATGAAACCAAAATAGAACTTTTTGGTAAAAACTCAACTCGTCGTGTTTGGAGGACAAAGAATGCTGAGTTGCATCCAAAGAACACCATACCTACTGTGAAGCATGGGGGTGGAAACATCATGCTTTGGGGCTGTTTTTCTGCAAAGGGACCAGGACGACTGATCCGTGTAAAGGAAAGAATGAATGGGGCCATGTATCGTGAGATTTTGAGTGAAAATCTCCTTCCATCAGCAAGGGCATTGAAGATGAAACGTGGCTGGGTCTTTCAGCATGACAATGATCCCAAACACACCGCCCGGGCAACAAAGGAGTGGCTTCGTAAGAAGCATTTCAAGGTCCTGGAGTGGCCTAGCCAGTCTCCAGATCTCAACCCCATAGAAAATCTTTGGAGGGAGTTGAAAGTCCGTGTTGCCCAGCGACAGGATTTTTTTCTCTCATTTTGTCTGTCATAGTTGACGTGTACCTATGATGAAAATTACAGGCCTCTCTCATCTTTTTAAGTGGGAGAACTTGCACAATTGGTGGCTGACTAAATACTTTTTTCCCCCACTGTACATAGTATAGGGAGGTCTGATGTGAGCCAGGGGAGTACAGTAGATATGGTAGAGGGAGATCTGATGTGAGCCAGGGGAGTACAGTAGATATGGTAGAGGGAGATCTGATGTGAGCCAGGGGAGTACAGTAGATATGGTAGAGGGAGATCTGATGTGAGCCAGGGGAGTACAGTAGATATGGTAGAGGGAGATCTGATGTGAGCCAGGGGAGTACAGTAGATATGGTAGAGGGAGATCTGATGTGAGCCAGGGGAGTACAGTAGATATGGTAGAGGGAGATCTGATGTGAGCCAGGGGAGTACAGTAGATATGGTAGAGGGAGATCTGATGTGAGCCAGGGGAGTACAGTAGATATGGTAGAGGGAGATCTGATGTGAGCCAGGGGAGTACAGTAGATATGGTAGAGGGAGACGCGTCTTAAATCATCAAATGCATTTCAGTATTAAGTGAGTGCAATTAACTACCAGGTACAAACAAAACCCAGAAGTGTTTCTGCCCTCCAGGACTGAAATTGAACAGGCCTGGTATAGAGAGAGCCATGGGAGTGGCCTACACATGGAGAGGAAGATGTGCCTTACCGACGCTGACGTGTCTCTGTGTGAAGGGTTAGGGACATGGTAGTACACATTGTGGAGAGGGAGATTGTATGTGCCTTACCGACGCTGACGTGTCTCTGTGTGAAGGGTTAGGGACATGGTAGTACACATTGTGGAGAGGGAGATTGTATGTGCCTTACCGACGCTGACGTGCCCTCTGTGTGAAGGGCTAGGGACATGGTAGTACACTTTGTGGAGAGGGAGATGTGCCTTACCGACGCTGACGTGTCTCTGTGTGAAGGGTTAGGACATGGAAAGTACACATTGTGGAGAGGGAGATGTGCCTTACCGACGCTGACGTGTCTCTGTGTGAAGGGTTAGGGACATGGTAGTACACATTGTGGAGAGGGAGATTTTATGTGCCTTACCGACGCTGACGTGTCTCTGTGTGAAGGGTTAGGGACATGGTAGTACACATTGTGGAGAGGGAGATTGTATGTGCCTTACCGACGCTGACGTGTCTCTGTGTGAGGGTTAGGGACATGGTAGTACACATTGTGGAGAGGGAGATTGTATGTGCCTTACCGACGCTGACGTGTCTCTGTGTGAGGGTTAGGGACATGGCAGTACACATTGTGGAGAGGGAGATTGTATGTGCCTTACCGACGCTGACGTGTCTCTGTGTGAGGAAGTAGTGCATTTCGTAGACGTCTTTCATCAGGGCGCTGTCACCAAAGGTGAAATAGGCCACGTCTCGGCCCGCCTCAGAGGCTGCCAGAATCTGGAGCAGAGCTGGAGGGAGTGGGGAGATGGGGGGGGGGGGGGGGGGGGGGGGGGGGGGGGGGAGAGAGATGGAGAGAGAGGGAGAGGAAGGGAGAGGAAGGGAGAGAGAAACCGTCTATACAGGGCCGATGCTTTCTTCAGATACAGTACAAGACAGGATACCAGGATCCTAGAGTAAACACGCTGAAGACTGCGACAACACAACCAGATTCAGCCAGAGCAATTTAAACTGTCATATTTCACACCAGGACTCAGAATGAATTAAGAAATGAATGAATACCCAGTCCCCCCACTGAGGAGCCAGACTTAGTCACCGTGTGAGCAGGGGAAGGCAGGTTCTGGCCCCAGAACCTTGTGAATATTTCATAAAGAGTCTGGAAATAAAGTCTGCTGATTAATAAAGCAACCGGGACAGAGAGGCAACAGTAACGAGCTACGAACACTGCTGAATAAACATCTGCAACGCTGGGGGCTGAGGCTTCTCTTTTCACAGACTTTCAGTTCCTCCTTTTTCATGTTGTCATCACTCTTCCAACTTGTCCCACAATTAAAAGCATGGATGGAGCTATTTGAGAGCAAAACCAAGTAAACAGAGGGGAACACTGGGCTATATTAAGTGTCTGTTCTCCCCAGAGGCATGCCATTAAGAAGACAGTGGGGTAAGAAAACTGCCAGTTGACTTCATAGAGACAGGGGTCCTGCCTGCCTGGCTCTGGACCGGCGCTAGGCTGATTAACTAACTGGTTCTGGACCGGCGCTAGGCTAATTAACTAACTGGTTCTGGACCGGCGCTAGGCTAATTAACTAACTGGTTCTGGACCGACGCTAGGCTAATTAACTAACTGGTTCTGGACCGGCGCTAGGCTAATTAACTAACTGGTTCTGGACCAATGCTAGGCTAATTAACTAACAGGTTCTGGACCGGCGCTTGGCTAATTAACTAACTGGTTCTGGACCGGCGCTAGGCTAATTAACTAACTGGTTTTGGACCGACGCTAGGCTAATTAACTAACTGGTTCTGGACCAGCGCTAGGCTAATTAACTAACTGGTTCTGGACCGGCGCTAGGCTAATTAACTAACTGGTTCTGGACCGGCGCTAGGCTAATTAACTAACTGGTTCTGGACCAATGCTAGGCTAATTAACTAACAGGTTCTGGACCGATGCTAGGCTAATTAACTAACTGGTTCTGGACCGGCGTTAAGCTAATTAACTAACTGGTTCAGATAAATAAATACAAAATCGAATCCATTTTGAATTCAGGCTGTAACACAACAACATGTGGAATAAGTCAAGGGGTATGAATACTTTCCGAAGGCACTGGATATACTGAGTATACCAAATATTAGGAACACCTTCCTAACATTGAATTGCACCCCCCCCCCCCCCTTTTGCCCTCAGAACAGCCTCAATTCGTCGGGGCATGGACTCTACGAGGTGTCGAAAGCGATCCACAGGAATGCTGGTCCATGTTGACTCCAATGCTTCCCACAGTTGTGTCAAGTTGGCTGGATGTCCTTTGGGTGGGGGACCATTCTTGATACACACGGGAAACTGTTGAGCGTGAAGAACCCAGCAGCGTTGCAGTTCTTGACACAAACCGGTGCGCCTGGCACCTACTACCATACCCCTCGTTCAAAGGAACTTCAATATTTTGTCTTGCCCATTCACCCTCTGAATGGCACACATCCACAATCCATGTCTCAATTGTCTCAAGGCTTAAAAATCCTTCTTTAACCTGTCTCCTCATCTTCATCTACACTGATTGAAGTGGATTTAACAAGTGACATCAATAAGGGGTCATAGCGTTCACCTGGATTCACCTGGTCAGTCTGTCATGGAAAGAGCAGGTGTTCCTAACGTTTTCAAGCCGATTTATGTCAAAACTGTGACTAGGCCACTCAGAAACATTCAATGTCTTCTTGGTAAGCAACTCCAGTGTATATTTGACCTTGTGTTTTAGGTTATTGTCCTGCTGGAAGGTGAATTGGTCTCCCAGTGTCTGGTGGAAAGCAGACTGACAGGTTTTCCTCTAGTCTCCCAGTGTCTGTTGGAAAGCAGACAGACAGGTTTTCCTCTAGTCTCCCAGTGTCTGTTGGAAAGCAGACAGACAGGTTTTCCTCTAGGATTTTGCCTGTGCTTAGCTCTGTTCTGTTTATTTTTATCCTAAAAAACTCCCTAGTCCTTGCTGATGACAAGCATACCCATAACATGATGCAGCCACCACCATGCTCGAAAATATAAAGAGTGGTACTCAGTGATGTGTTGTGATGTATTTTCCCCAAACATAACACTTTTTTTTATTCAGGACATGACGTTAATTTCTTTGCCACATTGTTTTCCAGTTTTACTTTAGTGCAAACAAGATGCATGTTTTGGAATATTTGTATTCTGTACAGGCTTCCTTCTTTTCCCCTCTGTCATTTTGGTTAGTATTTTAGAGTAACTACAATGTTGTTGATCCATATTCAGTTTTCTCCTATCACAGCCATTAAAACTCTGAGCTGGTTTCAGCCAGTGTATTTAGTCTTAAAGCACCACTGGGTGCTAACTGTTAGCGGTAGCGCAGGAGTCTGGCGGTGTCCTCCTATGAGCCCCTCTGCCTATAGACAGTGGTGTAGGAACACTAATGGGATCGTTACCATGGAAATGTACTTGAATTACACCGAGTCCCGATTTGTTTTACTTTCAAATGTATACCAAACGAAAACCACTGATTTCAAAGTTTTACAAACAATGGAACACCTTGAACAATTAAACTTTTCGCTTTTTACAAAAAAACAAATATACAGGAAGAACTGTGCAGATACAACGTTTGGTGGCAAAATACAATTGAGGGAGATTTTACCGTAATTCTGTTACCAAACTTTGCATCTGCACATCTTTTCCAGTAAACCTTTATTTAATATTTTTTACTGTGTCAATTGTTCAAAGTAGTCATTGTGCATAGGGTTTGTATGGTTTGTTAAACTTTGAAATCAATGTTTTTTTTTTGTTTGGCATACATTTTAAAGTGAAAAATCGGGAGTCTCAGCGTAATTCCGTTATCGTGGAATTGCCCCTAGGTCCATAATGGATGGGTGGGCTGGGGCAGGCGATCAATTCCACTGTTAATGAAAAATATCAACGTTGTCATTTGATCAATAAGTGGGCAGACAAATAGGCATTAAGTAAATGAATGTATTCCACAGCCAAGGCTAACGAGAGAGGGGACAGGCCATACTAACTGCAATGCGTTCCAAATGGTACCTTATTCCCTACTTTTAGTGCACTACTTTTGGCCAGGGCCCATAGGGATCTGGTCAAAAGTAGTGCACTATATTATAGGGAACAGGGTGCCATTTGGGACTCATGTCAGGACTGGAGGTTCAAATCATACTCTTTCTCTCCTATACTCAACAGTACAGTCCACTGGAGGTTCAAATCATACTCCTTCTCTCCTATACTCAACAGTACAGTCCACTGGAGGTTCAAATCATACTCTCTCCTATACTCAACAGTACAGTCCACTGGAGGTTCAAGTCATACTCTCTCCTATACTCAACAGTACAGTCCACTGGAGGTTCAAATCATACTCTCTCCTATACTCAACAGTACAGTCCACTGGAGGTTCAAATCATACTCTCTCCTATACTCTTCTCTAACCCTGTCCACTTTGGACCGCGACGACGCAGAAGTATGTTAAATGTTAAATTCTTTAAAATGTGTTTTTCGAATAAGGTTTTATAGCAAAAATGGTGATATGTGGTTGTGTTTAGTTTTTTTTAACCTAATTTAGTTAAAGGCACGTATTGCAAGTTGCCCTGGATAAGAGCAGAGTTTAACTTGGGCCGGAAGAGAAAATGAGTCCTGGCACATATTCAGTCCACCAAAAGAAGTGGAAAAGAGTGTCTACTAAATGACTAAAATGTAAATGTAACATCAGCCATTTTGAGTAAGTGCTATGCTGCCCCAAGCTTACCTTTAAACCTAGCGTCTCCCCCGAACACTCCACAGCCCCAGTTCCCCGTAGCAACCGCAGAGAGATCCTCACTCCTCTCCCCCGGGCGGGAGAAGCCACAGTATGCCTAAAGGAGGGGGGGAGAAAGATTTGGAAGATATACAAAACAAAACACAAAAAAGAGCAACCACATTTCTCAGACATGGGGGGATCATGTAAATTGCACTGGTGAGAAATAAACTGAGTCGTCAGTTGGTCAATGCTGATGTGAGAATACTGATGTGACAGTATGTCAAGTCATCAGACTAGGGCAGGCCCTGGCTGGGTACCAGTAAGTAGTAATACGATGAGATCTCATTAAACTACACTAAAGCCAGAAGGAAGCCTTAGGGCTCCTCTGATCACTGTTTAGTGCAGTTCCACATCTCTGTTTAGTGCAGTTCCACATCTCTGTTTAGTGCAGTTCCATATCTCTGGTAAGTTCCATAACGTAATCATGAGAACTCTAGTATGGTCCTATACATTAACACACGTAAATGGAAAATATATATAACATAACAATGTAATGCATGCTGCCTGCCGGGCCTAAAGCTTGGCACATTATTAAATTCAATGCATGCTGCGTGCCGGTCCTAAAGCTTGGCACATTATTCAATGTAATGCATGCTGCGTGCGTAAAAAAAAGCCCTGAGGAAAGATCCGGTTGGCCTGAGTATTAACCATGCATTTTTAAAATGATCATTTAACAACTTCACAGTTCACACATATAGAGCTTGATTTCATTTACATGTCGTAGAACTGCCAATTACACCTATCCGACCTACGCCCCATTCACATCTGGAAGGGATTTTGATATGGATTGACTTGACAAGACAGGTGTCTTCTAACATTGACACGAGGCACCTCAGCAAATTAAATGATGGATATACGCAAGGGGCTCTGGACATCCATTTTCACTTGGGAATTAAGGTGACTTAAGTGAGAATGAATGCTGAGTACGGCTCCTCCCCCGTCGTGTCCCAAATGGCACCCATTTCCCTACATAGTGCACTATGGGCCCTGGTCAAAAGTAGTGCACTATATAGGGAATAGGGTGCCATTTGGGACGTACACCCCCTGTCTGTCCAGTGGTAAATTCTAGGGTTTAAAAGGGCAGATTGGGCAGTTTCTTAAACAACCCTCCAAACAGAATTGCTCTCCATGTTCGGGTTATTTTTCACCTCCTGTTAGAACGGTCAGCTTTTTTTTTTTCTTCCTGAAGTGAGACTTCACAACATCAACGTAATGTCTTTTAATTTCACTTTGTCAATTACTATCAGAGAATATTATGTGAAGAAATGGATACCTGAAGTATTCTGATGTAATTTACCACCATTGTCAGGTTGCTATTGTAAAAAAAGAATGTGTTCTCAATAACTTACCTGGTTAAACAAAAGGTTAAATAAACTTGATTTAGATCAACTAATGCATAAAATAGCAGATCATAATGGGACATGATAGCCTTAATTAACTAGCTAAACATTTCATCACTCAAGATGGCATCTTCCATTCTTAAACCAACTCCAATGTTTATTGTTTACCTCAGAGGAAGAGTACACGTTAGTCATTTCAGATGACGTTACATTTGGCAGCAGTGACTATGAGATCATTGTGTTGTCTTTGTCTGATTGTATGCAATGGCTCGACACTAAAGCTATTAAATCAACGTGACAAGGCTAATTTCAACTTCAATTAAGGTTCTCACTGATGCATATAATCATTTTAAAGGAACGACACTCGCACACTCACACACACGGATGGAAGATCAAAGCTTAACATCAAACAGCGATAGCTGTAGACTAACGCCCTCCTTACTTACACCGTCATTAATATTACAGATATGTTCATATTTGTGTCTACAGTACAACGGACGACAAATTTTACTTAAAGCAGAAGCACTCCAGATATGAGAAGCAGAGAATGGGTGATTCCCAAGGACGTAGCCAAGAATATATCTAGAGTGCCTTCGGAAATTATTCAGACCCCTTGACTTTTTCCACATTTTGTTACGTTACGACATTATTCTAAAATGGATTAAATACATTTTTTCCCTAAATCTAAACACAATACCCCGTAATGACGAAGCGAAAACAGATTTTTAGAAATCTTTGCAAATGTATTCAAAATAATAAACAGAAATACCTTATTTACATTAAGTATTCCGACCCTTTGCTATGAGACTCGAAATTGAGCTCAGGTGCATCCTGTTTCCATTGATCATCCTTGAGATGTTTCTACAACTTGATTGGAGTCCACCTGTGGCAAATTCAATTGATTGGACATGATTTGGAAAGGCACACACCTGTCTATATAAGGTCCCATGTCAGAGCAAAAACCAAGCCATGAGGTCGAAGGAATTGTCCGTAGAGCTCCGAGACAGGATTGTGTCAAGGCACAGATTTGCAGAAGGATACCAAAAAATGTCTGCAGCATTTAAAGGTCCCCACGAACACAGTGGCCTCCATCATTCTTAAATGGAAGAAGTTTGGAACAACCAAGACTCTTCCTAGAGCTGGCCGCCCGGCCAAACTGAGCAATCAGGGGAGAAGGGCATTGGTCAGGGAGGTGACCAAGAACCCGATGGTCACTCTGACAGAGCTCCTTAGTCCCTCTGTGGAGATGGGATAACCTTCCAGAAGGACAACCATCTCTGCAGCACTCAACCAATCAGGCCTTTATGGTAGAGTGGCCAGACGGAAGCCACTCCTCAGTAAAAGGCACATGACAGCCCGCTTGGAGTTTGCCAAAAGGCACCTACAGGACTCTCAGACCATGAGAAACAAGATTCTCTGGTCTGATGAAACCAAGATTGAACTCATTGGCCTGAATGCCAAGCCTCACATCTGGAGGAAACCTGGCACAATCCCTACGGTGAAGCATGGTGGTGGCAGCATCATGCTGTGGGGATGTTTTTCAGCTGCAGGGACTGAGAAACTAGTCAGGATCAAGGGAAAGATGAACGGAGCAAAGTACAGAGAGATCCTTGATGAAAACCTGCTCCAGAGCACTCAGGACCTCAGACTGGGGCAAAGGTTCACCTTCCAACAGGACAGCGACCCTAAGCACACAGCCAAGACAACGCAAGAGTGGCTTCGGTACAAGGCTCTGAATGTCCTTAAGTGGCCCAGCCAGAGCCCGGACTTGAACCCGATCGAACATCTCTGGAGAGACCTGAAAATAGCTGTGCAGTGACGCTCCCCATCCAACCTGACAGAGCTTGAGAGGATCTGCAGAGAAGAATGGGAGAAACTCCCCAAATACAGGCGTGCCAAGCTTGTAGCGTCATACCCAAGAAGACTCGAGGCTGTAGTCGCTGCCAAAGGTGCTTTAACAAAGTACTGAGGGTCTGAATACTTATGTAAAATATTAATTTTTTTAGATTTTAGTTTTTATAAATTAGCAAACATTTATTAATGTCTATATTCATTTTCCCCCATGTTTATTCCATTACAGACACCCTAATGCATACTTTTAAATTATATTATATGAGCTAAACTAAGAAATACAAATATATATATATACACAAAAATGTTCCTTAAGTAGAACTTGTAGAGAGTAGTAATGCTTCTGTCCCCACTACAACAACAAAATACTTAAATACATGTAAATTTGTTGTTGAAACATTTAATTGCAATATTGTAGAATTCCATTCATTCCTATGGAGCACTGCTCCTGCTGGGGAGAACCAATATGGCCGCCCGGTGGCTTCAAAGCCTCTCATTGGCCAATACATAGCATCAGCAATCCAGGGGTTTATATATACGTCATTGACCCCAACCCAACAAGACGACCATGTTCATTTTATAAGTTGCCAAATGGTTACATCATGAATGGGCGTTTTGTATTCATTATCCATTTTCTTTTTTTTACTGAATGGTGTGCATGAAATCTCCAGCCACGAACTATGCTCATCTTATTGAGTTACCACTACTCATCTTATCAAGTAACCACTACTCACCTTATTCAGTTCTCTGTTCATTTTATCAGGGTGAAACTGTTCGAGGAAGCTCCTGAACTTCAGAGCGTCCATCGCTACGATCTCTGTGCACCTCCTCTGCCAGGAGTCTCTGTGGACGACAGGGTTAGGGCAAATCATTCAAATGTATTTTATAAAGCCCTTTTTACATCAGCAGTTGTCACAAAAGTGCTTTACAGATAGCCAGTCTAAAAAAACAAACAAAGAGCAAGCAATGCAGAGGCACAGTGGGAGGAAAAAGTCATTAAATCATGCTCTTGGTAATTGGTTAATCAATATTGTAAACAACTTCAGAGCGAAATCCCTTAAATATGTAGAGTGTATTTTAAAAACAGTCTGATCAGAAAGTAAGCACCTTGGGGTCTTGTCCTGATGTTTGCCGTCCCATAGGTAGCTCTCTGCATAGCCAGTGTAGGTACTGTACTGCTCAGTACCTGGGGGGGCCCAACAGAACAGAAACCATTCAGAATCAGACCAATATCAACAACTAATCAAGATTAAAGGGATAGTGCGGAATTTTGGCAATTCACTTCTTCTATTTAGTCAGATGAATTCAGGGATACCATTTTGATGTCTCTCTGTGTACAGTTTGAAGGAAGTTGGAGGTAGTTTTGCGACCCAATGCTTACTAGCGTTAGTCTACTGTTAGACTTCCATTCATAGCTTTAGCGTTGGCTCGCAAAACCACCTTCAGCTTCCTTCAAACTGTACGCAGAGACATAAAAATTGTATCCCTGAATTCATCTGACTGGGTAAGTAGAAAAGGGCTTAGGTTGCCAAAATCGCGCACTTTCCCTTTAATGTTAGCCTATGACACTATCTTTGAATGAGAGTATCAACAGAGCATCAAATTACTGACAAATGACATCAGTGACTGACAATGGCCAGAAAATGAGATATTATTTGAATAGGTGAGATATTATCAGGAAAATAAACTGTCAGGAAAGCTGTGATTTTTACAGCCAGCCAATTGCTTAATCTTTTTGTTAATTATTCCATGTGAAGTGATGCCACAGGAGAGCAGCTGTCTCCAACAACAGGAAGGTCAACTTATTACCTCCCTAGGAAGAAGAGAGAGCTAGGCTGCGTCACAAATCAAAAATGGGCCCTGGTCAAAAGTAGTGCACTACAAAGGGAATATAAAGGGTGGCATTTGGGACGTAACCCTAGAAACACAGTTAGCAACAGCTCAGCCGACACGGGAGGAAGGGATGAAGGGGGAGGGTTCAGAATAACCGAGGGCACAAATTAACCTCTCATTCATTAGGCCTCATTAATACCTGCGGTAGCTGTGTGTGTGTAATTGCGGTGTATGTATTTGTGTGTGTTTGTGTACAAACAAGAGCTGATTACTGGAGCATGGTCAGTGGGCCTCTCCTCTCGAGAAGGAAGAATCTCACGAGCCATTCTACATTTGACAAGCCCGGGACGTCATTAATACTCAGCTCATATTTGATTTATTTTCCTAGTGAACTTACTCATTTTATGTATTTAACCAGGATTGTCCACTCCGTAAAGATTACAACTGTCCTGGTAAGTAATCACTGCCTCTGTAAGACATTGATGCACCATCTCGTGTGTGTGCTATTCCAGTTCCCAGAATGATACAAAAGGTTTAGCAAATGTAGTGTTCCAAAGAACTAGGGTTGGGCGGTATACCGTATATCGGGGTATTTGGAAATACCCACGGGATGGTTTTCATATACAGTGAATGCCGTTGAAACAATTTCTTTGACGTTTTTGAATATATTTGAATATTTGTAGCTACTTTTTAATTAAATACTTGCAATATGTTAGGAGAAAAAGCAGATTGCGCGCTTCATTTCAGCTTTCGCATTTTACATTATGAAGCTTACTGTAGTTCCCCAGAACAGCAGCCAGTCACGTGTTCGTTGTAAATAGCACAACGTGAGAAAGTGGAAGCTGGTGAGTCCATAGCATTCTATATCTATAGGTGAGTCTCTGTTGTGCACATGAGGTGATGAAGTTTTACACTTGTATCCAATTCACTACTAAATGTTTGCCATCATTTACAGAAAATATAGTAATGCCAATGGTGGAGGTGTTGCTGTTTATATACAGAACCACATTCCTGTGAAGATCAGAGATGATCTAATGTTAAATACTGTTGAAGTAATACGGCTACAGGTTCATCTGCCTCACCTAAAGCCCATTCTGGTGGAAAGATGCTATAGACCACCAAGTGCTAACAGTCAGTATCTGGATAACGTGTGAAATGCTTGATAATGTATGTGATATCAACCTGCCAGGGTGGTTACAAACAGTACAGGAATTAAATAATCAACTTGTATTGATCATGTCTATAAGAGCCCCAAAACATCACTGCTCTAGAGGAGATCTGCATGGAGGAATGGGCCAAAATACCAGCAACAGTGTGTGAAAACCTTGTGAAGACTTACAGAAAACGTTTGACCTGTGTCATTGCCAACAAAGGGTATATAACAAAGTATTGAGAAACGTTTGTTATTGACCAAATACTTATTTTCCACCATAATTTGCAAATAAATTCATTAAAAATCCTACAATGTGATTTTCTGGATTTTCTTTTCTCAATTTGTCTGTCATAGTTGACGTGTACCTATGATGAAAATTACATGCCTCTCTCATCTTTTTAAGTGGGAGAACTTGCACAATTGGTGGCTGACTAAATACTTTTTTCCCCACTGTAGCTGTACCGTGATATTTGCATTGCTACGGAGTAACCCTTCAATTGTTCTCCACTAATTCCCCCGCTAAAGCCCCTCCCCATCCCAAGTTGAGCCATCATTTAAAAAAAATTATGCATTTCCTATTTTCCATCGTTATCAATGAATATGCGTAATAATGTCGGCAGTTCATGCGTAGGATTTTAACATATAACCCGGATTGCCATTGTATTACATTTAATTTATTGACAAGCAATTATTATCCTAGCAAATAATTCCCGTGGTCCATCCCATACCCCCCCTCCACCCCAACATCCCCACCCCCCCACAAGAGATGCCGGAAAAACACACACGCACATACTCACATACTCCAACACACTCAACCCCCCTCCCCCACAATCAACCATAAAATCAGATGCTCAACGGTTGTTACATCCCAGAGCCCAACTCAAGAAAGAACCTGATTTACGAGTGCACATACAGTTAAAGCTGATTGAGAAAGCATGTAGATTGAGCAGAAATTGACAACAATGTGAGATTTGATTAATCTACTTAATCTATGTCAAGTCCTAGGTGATGGAGATCAGATCCACCCTCTTCACCTGAGACACAAACACTCTGATCCCCTGTTGTAACCATTTTCCCAAGCATCTCCGAGCAGTCAGACCTTTGATTATTTTGTGCCACCTGGGCCACAATGATAAACCCCCTCTCTGATTGTCCGAGTGTGACCCCCTCCCCATGGGTTAAAGAATATATGTTGGTCCATGGTGTTTAATGAGGAGCAAACAGACACTGCACTTGACACATTTATGAAATTGCTTCTTCCAGTTACTAATAAGCATGCACCCATTAAGAAAATGACTGTAAAAACTGTTAAATCCCAGTGGATTGATGAGGAATTGAAAAATTGTATGGTGGAGAGCGATGAGGCAAAAGGAATGGCAAATAAGTCTGGCTGCACAACCGATTGGCAAACGTATTGCAAATTGAGAAACCATGTGACTAAACTGAATAAAAAGAAGAAGAAACTACACTATGAAACAAAGATAAATGACATAAAGAATGATAGTAAAAAGCTTTGGAGCTCCTTAAATGACATTTTGGGAAAAAAGGCAAACTCAGCTCCATCATTCATTGAATCAGATGGCTCATTCATCACAAAACCAACTGATATTGCCAACTACTTTAATCATTTTTCAATTGGCAAGATTAGCAAACTTAGGCATGACATGCCAGTAACAATTGCTGACACCACACATCCAATATATCTGACCAAATTATGAGAGACAAGCATTGTAATTTTGAATTGCGTAAAGTGAGTGTGGAAGAGGTGAACAAATTATTGTTGTCTATTAACAATGACAAGCCACTGGGGTCTGACAACTTGGACAGAAAATTACTGAGGATAATAGCGGAGGATATTTCCACTCCTATTTGCCATATTTTCAATTTAAGCCTACTAGAATGTGTGTGCCCTCAGGCCTGGAGGGAAGCAAAAGTCTATCCGCTACCTAAGAATAGTAAAGCCCCCTTTACTGGCTCAAATAGCCGACCAATTAGCCTGTTAGCAACCCTTAGTGAACTATTGGAAAAAATTGTGTTTGACCAGATACAATGCTATCTTACTGTAAACAAATTGACAACAAACTTTCAGCATGCTTATAGAAAAGGACATTCAACAAGCACAGCACTTACACAAATGATTGATGATTGGCTGAGAGAAATTGATGATAAAAAGATTGTGGGGGCTGTTTTGTTAGACTTCAGTTCGGCTTTTGACATTATCGATCATAGTCTGCTGCTGGAAAAACATATGTGTTATGGCTTTACACCCCCTGCTATAATGTGGATAAAGAGTTACTTGTCTAACAGAACACAGAGGGTGTTTTTTAATGGAAGCCTCTCAAACATAATCCAGGTAGAATCAGGAATTCCCCAGGGCAGCTGTCTAGGCCCATTACATATCTTTAAAAATGACATGCCACTGGCTTTGAGTATGCGGATGACTCAACACTATACACGTCAGCTACTACAGCAACTGAAATAACTGCAACACTTAACAAAGAGTTGCAGTTAGTTTCGGAATGGGTGGCAAGGAATAAGTTAGTCCTGGATATTTCCAAAACTAAAAGCATTGTATTTGGGTCAAATCATTCACTAAACCCTAAACCTCAACTACATCTCGAAATGAATAATGTGGAAATTGAGCAAGTTGAGGTGACTAAACTGCTTGGAGTAACCCTGGATTGTAGACTGTCATGGTCAAAGCATATTGATACAACTGTAGCTAAGATGGGGAGAAGTATGTCCATAATTAAGCGCTGCTCTGCCTTCTTAACCCATGGGGCGGCGCACAATTGGCCCAGCGTCGTCCAGGGTAGGGGA